CTTCAGAAAAGGGAATAAATAGAAAATGAAAATGCCACAAAGGTTGTTTTTACGATGAAACTAACCACATATATGTTGGTACCATACAATAATATATTTGATCCCACTGTAGCTACTACGTTGCTCAAGGATAACAGCATCCATGGAACTATGTTAAGGATTGGCAGTTTCATAATAACATGTCAGAATTGAACTGAGATTAAAATGTTGCTAAAATTTAATTTAATTGATGCAGTAAAATGTTACTGACAATGGCAAATTGTCAAAAGTTAATTTGTCAGGATATGAAAAAACATATCGTACACACAACATATGGAGTACTTTAATAAATTGACTTTCTCTTGGAAAACATAATTTTCCTAGAAGGCTTTAATTTACTGCTGGTTATTTAAAAAAAACAAAAAACAAAAAAACAAATGAAACTGGCTTACAAGGTTTCTTTGAATTAAAATACAGTAAACTTAGTCTTCTGAAGACTTGGAATATAGAGCAAGAGTCTTATAGACCCCTTTTATGGTGCTTTCACATCTTTTTTTTGAGGCTTGAAAGCTTCAATCCCCATGGGGAACAATTGTGAGGAAAGAGCAACCAGTACAGCTCTTTTTTGCTCCTCACAAGGAGGAGAGCCAGGCGGGTTTGGAATGACATGAGGGTATGGCAAAATGTTAATTTTTAGACAAACTTACTTTAATTCAACATCACATGGGGCAGGGCCAAATTAAATTCTAAATTAAAAATAGAGTTCACAAATAAATGCTTTTTTTTCTTTTAATTAAATTACTTTCAGGCAACTTTTTCTTCAGTAAAAGTAAATGTATTAAAACAGTTTTTTAGTGACTTGGCAAGTTTGGAGACGAAGGGCTCTGTTTTAATGATCTAGGCTCAAAATCTAAAGGTTGCAATGCAAAAGCATTAAGGTTGTGTCTGAATTTGCTTTTTTAAGGTTGGAAAAATACTGTCTGTGCCCTGGCACATGGTCTAACAGGGTCATGCTTATTCTTTTAATGAGTTATCGGTGTGTCTTGAGCATAACGTGGATTAAACCAATCAGAGTCTCATCTCTTATTCTTTTTAAGAGTCAGTTTTGTTGCACCATGGTGCATTTGCTGTTTACATGGTGGACTTTGTAAGTGGAAAAACTGAATGCTTCACTAACGAGAAAACAGTTAAACAGACCATCTACGCGAGGATAAAGAATGAGCCTCCTCCATTTGGCCTCTTAACTTTCTCTTTACTTTACTTTAACTCTTTACTTTACTCCTTTACTTTCATGGATAAGCAAACCATTTTGTATGAACTCAACTGAAGACATCTGTTAGCCTACTTATTTAATTTTATTTGTTAAGCACAAAGATTTGTTTCAAAACTATTTCTAAATTCAGTTCTAATTTTCAGCAAACAAATTAATGAACAGTAACAACGAAGTGTGGTCAAGCAACTGAGTTATAGGCTATCCAAACACATGTGTGTATTAAACTGTTTAGGTTTAGACTCACATAGGCGCATTCACAATGAGCACTATATATGGAACAAAAAGTGAAATTTTGGTGTATGGAAGATTACTAAACATTACAATATTTACAGCATTATTTTATTTGATCCACAGCCTCTGCAAATGGTTTTAATTAGGGTAACAACGCTGTTAATAATGTTTCATTTCTTGCACAGACCAATCATTTCACTTTAAAAGACCTCATCAGGAGCCATTTTGTTTTACTCTATGAGTTTTTTTACACTCTCAAAGTGCTAGTACCCATTAATTTCCATTTTATGTCAGTAATACATTGAAGGAAAAAAAAAAAAAAAACTTGCATCATCACAGGATAGCCAGAGGGTGAGTAAATTAACAGCACATTTTCATTTTTGGCTGACTTATACCTTTAAGAATTAAAAAGAATTCCATTTCTAAGTTCTACATTTTACCCATACTTATATTTAGCTACTTTTTCTCCTTAGTAATGCAATGCCTGTATGCTTTAAAACATAAATGAGACTAGCCATGAATTTCTACTCCATATGCTAAACTAGGCTACTTCTGTCTCACTGGAAGAAATCATTAATCCTCAGTACGTTCTTTTTCAGTGTTGCAATCAACAGAGACTGAAGTGTCATTTGCACTTTCAGACTGACCTGGTCTTTCTTCCCCCCGGTGAGTTCGGCAGGAGTGTGAACACAAAAGCCAGCAGTGAAGGGTCAGATCCTCGCCTGAAGGGGTTTGCCGTTACACCGCATGGCCTGATGAGCTTTTCTTAGAGCTCTGCGTGGTTGGTCTGAAAAATCTTTTGTTGGTGAAAGCCATAGATATATATATTTTTATCTTCGATTCCACACTTCACAAATGCTGAGTGAATGAATTTTGCACTTGTACAAATCATACATCAATCCCTTAATTCATTTTGATTGTGGTTATGGGGTTTTTCCTCCGAGAAACAGCTTCAGGATTAATATTCTCCAGAGCTATATTCTTATATTCATTATTTCTGGCATTCATCCTATAATGAATATTTATTTTTCCAGTTCCCTTAACTCACAAAATGATATTTTATTGTGCTATTACAAAGTACCATTTTAAACTGAACAGTGCATCTGTAAAATAAAAAAAACTAAAAAAAACACTGACAGCTCCAAAGGGCTTGTAGGGCCACTTTTTTTCTATCAATTATTAACTAATTTTAGAGCAAATGAAATAATTTAGCATATTAGAGTGCAAGGATAAGTTTGTTGCGAGCTGTGTTTTATAAGCATGCGAGTGGCATGTCAGTGAAATGAGATGGTAACTATGCACTCACCCTTTGCCACAGACACTGCAGATCTGTGAGAGAGTGAGCCTTGTTGCTAGGATACAGAGCATGGCTCCTTAAAGGGAGCGATGGAGACAAATTGGAAGAGAGAGATTTTCTCAAACTAATGGCTTTTCGATGAATTTTGAAATAGAGATGATCAATGGAAATAATTACACATAACTGTACTGGTTTATTTTTTGTTCTTCATAGCTAGCTCGCTCTCTCTGACCTATACACAACACAGCAGAGGAGGCAATAACAAACACGACACACAGAAAATGCTGCTTCTGTCTACTTTAAGGTATATTATTGGACAATGTACAGTCTCTGCCTCTAAATAAAGCTTGACAGATTGATCAGGACCCTAGAGGGCTGAATGCGTAATTATGCAGACATGAGCAATGGATTGGGGCAGAAATTATACAGTAACCATTCTTAAATCCTAAAGCTTCAGCTAAAAATTAATACAAATTAACAAGTGAAAGTGTATATATACAGGTAAGGTCAGAATTATTAGCCTTGCTTTGAATTTGAACAGAGCAAAAAAATGTTCACAGTATGTCTGATAAAATTTTTTCTTCTGAAGAAAGTCTTAATTGTTTTATTTCGGCTAGGATAAAACAAGTTTTTAATTTTAAAAAGCCGTTTTAAAGTCAAAATTAATAGCCCCCTAAAGTTTTTCCCCCCCCGATAATGTACAGAACAAACCATTGTTATACAATAACTTGGCTAAATACCCTAACCTGCCTAGTTAAACTAATAAACCTAGTTAGGCCTTTCAAGGTCACTTTAAGCTGTATAGAAGTGTCTTGAAAAATATCTAGTAAAATATTATTAACTGTCATCATGGCAAAGATAAAATAATATCAACTCAACATCAATATCAATATCAATACAACTAGCAGTGCAATATGGCTGTATATCAGCACTGGTGGGAGGCGTGCTTTGGCACAAGGCCACAGGCCAATTGCTTTAGCGTCCCACCAGTGATCATATACAGCCATATCACAATGCTACTTGTGTGACATTGCGTTTATACAACCGTTTGACGGCATAATCGTGTATATAAAAGAAAATCAAACACGGTGAGTCTAAAAAGCCTTTTGTTTGAGGAACTAATTTCTTCAGCCACTCATTTACATCTGCAGCTGACATCAGAACAGCAGAAACTATTGGTACTTCACCAACGTCTCTTTAGAGCTAGTGTTTGAATGATTCTCTAGCGTAATGTCTAAAGTGATGACAAAACAGGTGCTAACGTTTTAAGATGATGAAGCTAAACGGCATGAAATGCCATAAGTCTAGAGACATTTCCCAGCATTTCTCTGTTGCAATCGGGATATCACAATAATTAACCCCTAAAAATAAAAGCCAATCAAAGCCTACCAGATTGCTGTTGTGTTTGCGATAAGGAAAAACGCTTAACACATGCTGGCATTTCTTCTTTTTTCTTTTTACTGGACTAGTCTGCCGTAACGAAAACAGGAGATGCATTAGAAACAGATGGCCAACCAAAATGTAAATCAGAGTTATACAAAGAGTATCCAACACAAAATACATACATTCCTAACATGTGAGTACCATCTCACACAGAATACACTACAATTAGTATGGTATAAATTCAGGACTACAACAAAAGAGAGAGAGATCGACTTAGAATGTCACTTACCAGTTTAATAATGATTTGATCAGCTGTAGTTAGAAATTACGCTGAATTATTCTCCTCTAAAGGCTTATTTCATGGTCTCTGTCGCCATCCATTCTTTGCTCTGCTTATTAACAGGCTGATGGAGATTTATATAAAGATTTCAAATACGCTCTATCCTTGTAAATAAAATGCAAAGTTGCAATTTAGACAACTACATTCTTGTCTAAAAAGCCTCAAAATACATTATGTTGTCCAACAGCAGCAACATTTGTCAAACTGTAGTAAGTTTGATGATCAGCTGTCACTGGGTGAATTAATAAATACTACATAAATACTCTTGTCAAATGACCTGTCTAGTTTACCTAATTAACCGTGTTAAGCCTGTAAATTGCACTTTAAGCTGAATACTAATATCTTGTAAAATATTATGTACTATAATCTTGGTAAATTCAAAAACAATTACTTATTAAAACTATTTTATCATGTTTTATGTGTCAAAAAAAAAAGATCATAGCTCTGTTAAACAGCACTTGGGAAATATATATTTTTAAAACAATTGAAATTTCACAGAAGGGCTAATAATTTTGCCTACCATTGTATATTTTTTGGCATGAATGAGATTTCACAATTCACAATTTCACATATAAATGAGCCACCAATTTGTCAAAATTATGTTGGGCAAAAAATGTCCTTTGTATGTTGCCCATTGTCCAAGAGAAGATTGTGTATGAGTAATTTTTTTTCCTCATGCAAAACTGGTAATCACACACATAACAACATAACTACTGAAATTACTTGATTTCACTCTACACAGCACTGAATGCTACAAATAAAGACCAAGCTAAATGTAGAATTCCAGTAAAAAGAAAGCTACTTGACTGTCAAACAGATTATGCAGATATCTACATTTTATACGTTATTTGACATATTTATTTTTGCTTATCGTTTGATAGAATGACAAATAAGCTTAGCTTCGGCAGCTGTGCTAAAACAGCCTTCTCTCCGCCTGTCAACAACAACTCTGACCCTGTAACCTCTTGTCTTAATTACATGTAGGATTAAAATGGATTGTCGTCCTTAGGAGATCCATTGTGAATTTTATTAGATAGCCTGCATGCGAGGTCCTTGAGTGGATAATTAAAACAGAAAGGCAGTTTGGGTGATGAATTTAAAATTTCCATCACTGAAATTATTTATATGGTTAAACAGTTCTAGGGCATCATATGGGAGCTATCTTCTCATTATTAAAATAAATGTGGAATGAAAAGCGAAAATGTGGTGAGACATGCCTTGCCGAATCAATCTCTGGTATCCCCGTGGACAACTTGAAGGCTCTTTTAGAGTACCGGTGCTCCTGACACCTCTGTATCATTTATTCTCCCCCTTTCGGCCATGACATTTAGTTTCTCCCCAAGTAACAGCAACAGGGCCAATCAGAGATGAGAAGAGCAGCTGTGTGGAGTTGCACTGCTTTGCTCGCAGAAGCTTCGTTTTAAATGTTTGTGTGACAGGAGCGGGGCATCATTAGGGAACTTGCACACACATGAGCACTGGCTGAGAATGCAAAGACCTGCTTAGGCTGACAGAAAATGGGAAGATGTCCTTCTTACACACCCTGATCTTGATGGCTTCATCAGCCAGACGATCGATAGATGTGAGGAACTGTATGGAAGGCTTGTCGCCACACTGAGACCTGGTAATAAAACAACAGCTTGTTAGTAAAATGTTACCTCAAAAAAATACAAATAAAAAAATAAGAGATTTTTTTTCTGATGAGATGAGCTCACAATATTACAGCCATACCGTATAATATTCAGTTCTACTAAATTAGCAGGGGCCATTTGCATTTTGGAATGCATAAATGCACCTGTGAGACTTTCTCAGATTATGCGTTGTAGGAGACTTCCCAATTTTGCATGCAAAATGCAATGACCCTTCTAACTGATGGAAAATGGAATCATCTATAGGCTTAAAATTGCAATCATTCAGAGATGATTGAAATTGGTAACACTTGCGTTCATAACATTACCATATTTTGAATGATATAGTGCTTAAAGGATTAGTTCACCTCAAAATAAAAAAAACATCATTTACTCACCGTCATGTCATCCTAAACCCATAAAATGCTAGTATATTGTAAAGTAAGTATTGTACAGATATTTTAAATGAAAGCTGAGGGATTTCTGTTTCCTTTATTAAAGATTTCATGCACAACTCTTTACTGAAATTCTTCAGAAATGTATACACACATTAAATAAACGTTTTTTAAAGAAAACTTTTTGCTTTATATGATGAATGGGTTTTATTTTAGGCTTTTGTTTGCACATAAATTTTGTGTGGATCAATCAATCAATCAATCAATCAATCAATCAATCAATCAATCAATCAATCAATCAATCAATCAATCAATCAATCAATCAATCAATCAATCAATCAATCAATCAATCAATTAAAATGAACACTTTATTGTAAGGTACAATTCTTGCTATTAATAAACCATTAACTTAAATTAATTTGCTGCTTATTCAGAGTTAGTAAGGCAGTGGGTTTATATATTGGATACTATTGGAAATGTCGAATAAGATCATACTTTATGAGCACTAATAATCAGCCAAAATCTTATTAAAGGGTCACGAAACACCAAAACACATTTTTTTTGAGATGTTGACAGTCATATATGCGTCCCACATTGCTAAAAACACTATCAGGACACATATATTTAGCTAACAAGTGAAAAATGGTTGTTTTTGGTTGTTTAGAGCAAATTCGTTCCTCCGGTTTAAAAAATAAATTTTGAAGCAACGTCACGGTGAGGAGATCATGGTGTGAATTCCAGCGTAGAGATTGGCTGTCTGTACCAGCTGATACCAAGTGACGCCATTAAGTTTTCAGCACATTTATTCATTCATTCATGAGAAAGACTTGGTTTGTACTAATCAGGACGCTCTATTGTGAATAAGGTTCAATTTCATTTAAATGCACGACATAGCTTCGAAGACTCCTTTTACCTGTTACAGTGTTCAGTGAGACACCACGTTGTGTTGCCAACCGTAATTCAAACTAATAGTAGAAGAATTGTTTGGAGACATGAGTCGTCAGTGTTGCGTTTATAAATGTGCCGCAATGAAGGGTTTGTTTCTATTTTCCTATGATGAGAGCACAGCTCACGTGTGGACCCACATGTGTGGATTACAGTGGTCTGCAGACACATTAAGGTTTGTAAGGTACATTTTTTTACCCGAGAGCTTTTTGAATCTGGAAATGGTGAAATTCGGATTTGACACTTGTCTTCTTTTAAAAAAAGATGTGGTTCCAGTTCGTGTTGATTGTCCTATCTATACTTATATGGTAAATGGCAAAGTTAGTATCATCAGCAGTACTCTTTCAGTTTTTAGACATACATACATAGGTTTACAGTAATATCACTTACAATATTATGTACTGAAAATCCTCTACTTCCACACAGCTCTTAGATCCGCTGAAAATGTTGCTCTCACTGTCTTACATCTCCTCTGCATTTGTGTTTTCATTGCCACTATGAAAATCAGCGCGCACACTTACTGAAACTCCCCTTTTCATGCAAACCCTTCCCTCATTCACCACTCAACACTCCCACCTAAACAAAGCTGCAATCACCCACTTTCCTAAGTTTTCCTAACTAGAGGTTTGAAAATACCCTGCTGAGACATGAGGGGTGTCATGGTCCTTTAAGAAGCAGGTAATAAGCCAATAGTTAATAGTGGAATTGGTACTTAAACTAAAGTGTTACCAAAATAACTATAGGAGTGTATATTGGAGTTTTGTGAAATGAACTGTTTCAATTATTTCAGTTTTCAATTTCAATTTGCTAAATTTGAAGGGTAATGGAAACACAGCCAGTGTGAGCACAGCTTAATAGCAGATTTCGCTGTCACAACTTACCCCATTTAGTATGACAACATTCTCTGAGAAATGCTTTCACAAAATGCTAACCTCTGCTATGTGAAGTGTATATATTTTCTTGGCCAACAACAATGGCAAATGTTCAACAGGATTGTACACTCAATAGAAATTCTGACCTTCAAATATAAACCTACACAGACTGTATATTCACTGGAGTAAAATGTAAAACCCTTTTTACTCATCATGTATTGTAGAGAAATAAAGTGGAATCTATTTGATAAAAGTTCACTAATTGCAGGGTACTACATGCACATAAGCAGTGATTCAATTATGTCGTACATGCAACTGGTGTAAACATTTGTAAAGCCTATTTGTGAGTAATGATGGTGCCAGTGTTTTTAATGTGACAGAATCCTAAAGGCAAAAATAACTGAATAAAAATGCAAAATATAATGTGTCTCATGCTTTAACCCGGCTCAATAAAAGCAAATTACAATGTGGCATTCGAGTTTCTGTTCACTGTTTCTGTAATCAGTCTTAAAATGTTCTGGATGACAAAATTACAGCACCTCAGCAATAAAACTAGTATTTTAAATGTCAGATTTTTTTTCTTTTTTGCACATGCAACTGTGGCTGTCTGATTAGCACTTCTTAAAAGGAAGACAAAATTGGCAGCTTTCAAAAGAGCAAGTTTGATGACTTAAGCATCTATAAAAGTCAGACATGCACAGTACTTCTGAATGTTACATGACAAGCTGATATAAGTGCATTTTCCCCTCTAAAGATTAGGTTTTGCTGAGGACTTATGTTCAGAAAACGACCTGATTAAGTGACCTAAATGAAAAAAAAAAAATCATGTGGAGCATTGACATGATGCTGAACTGATTTATTTTAAAGGAGCACAGAATGTCTTAAACTTACATTTTTTTCCTCAATTAATTATGTAAGTTTACCTTATTTGAATTATATAGCATTGTTTTTTTTAGAGCATAGTTATATAGAAGTAAATATATATTAATTATTTGTCTTCTGTTTTGATTTTAGTGTATTTTTTGTATTTTTGCATTCCCTGCTGAAAAATCCAGCTTAAACCAGCCTAGGCTGGTTGGCTGGTTTTAGCTGGTCGACCAGGCTGGTTTTAGAGGGGTTTTGGCCACTTCCAGGCTGGTTTCCAGCCATTTCCAGCCTGGTCTTAGCTGGTCAGGCTGGAAAATGACCAGCCAAATCCAGCTAAAACCAGCTTGACCAGCCTGGTTTAAGCTGGATATAGCTGGTTTTGGCTGGACTCCCAGCTTGGCTAGGCTGGTCAAGCTGGTTTTAGCTGGTCATCTCCCAGCCTGACCAGCTAAGACCAGGCTGGAAATGGCTGGAAACCAGCCTGGAAGTGGCCAAAACCCCTCTAAAACCAGCCTGGTTGACCAGCTAAAACCAGCCAACCAGATTAGGCTGGTTTAAGCTGGATTTTTTAGCAGGGTTGTGTTTGTCATTTTTATTATTTTTCATTATTTATCTGTTTTAATATTTAAAAAAAAAGTTTATATAGTAGTTATTTACATCAGTTATATATTAGTTATTTACTGTTACAATGTAGCACAAAGAATCAAATTTAAGAACTCAAGCGCTGTTTTAAGGATGTAACAAATGCAAAACATAAACAAAATATTGCATGGATTGGCACACTAAAAAGAAAAAAGAACAAACTCACATAAACAAAACTAGAAGAGAACAAAGAAAATATGAGGGCTATATATACCAAACACGAGGGATTATGTGACATCAAACAACCAAATGAGAACTAGAGACATGATTAAGACAACAAATGAGAAACATGACACAGGCTGCGTAAGAAAATCGCATACTTCCATACTGAAAATTATGCTAAAAACAGTATGCGAGCCGAGTAGTATGTCTGAATTCATAGAATTTAAAAATCAGTATGCGAGAAGTACCCAGATGGCCTATCACTTCCAGCGAGATTCTTAAGTGTGCATCCCATGCACAGTGAGTGAAGCGATCTAACTCATGAGATAGGTCACGTGATCATGACAAAATGGGGGATGTAGTATGTCCGAGTTTCATTCATATTACTGACATTAATACTGTATAGAATTTACTTTATTAGAGGTTGAGTAGTACATTTAAATTCAAATGCAGTACCAACTAGTTGTACAAACGAGTCGTAGGTGGTTTCAGATGCAGCCATACACAAATAGCTGAAAACAGAAAGACAAGACAGACTTTAAAATAAAAGACAAAAGGTGCGTCTGAAATTGTTTACTTTAATACTATATTGTACGCTAAATACAGTATGCGAGCTGAGTATGTCCGAATTAGACAAAGAATTCGAAAATCAGTATGTGAGAAGTACCCTTTTCTACTACTTCGAGTGAGATTCTCAAGTGCACATCCGATGGACGATATGCTATCCCATGATGATACATTGTGAGAGAATTCATGAATGGGAGTGAAGCGATGCAACTGACGCAGGTAGGGCAGGTGATGATGGTAAAATGGCGGATGTAGTACGTCCGAGTTCAATTCAATATGCTCACATTCATATTGTATAGTAGTGATCCTCAACCTTTTTATCACTGCGAACTGGTCAACGATTAACACTTTACTGCAGATCAGGCAACTAGGTTTTCTCAGAGTGTTCTCTGAGGATGACAAGCTGACAAAACATTACTGATACTCTAATACAAGTTGTATTTATGGAGAAAATTACAAAACACTGCAGTGTTTGGGTGTTTTGTGTTTTGTGTTTGTGTTTGGGTGTCATGTGACTCGTGGTGGGTTTGTGGCATTCATTTA